ATCTATAAATAGCTCAAAAAGAGTCAAAATAGTTTGAAAATGTAACCATGTATGGACAATTCTAATATAAACATTTGGTTAACATTTCATGAGTCTCCAGTTATTAATTTTGGAAATACAACAAAATATCAAAAATCGATCAGTAATTTACTACCTACTGAATATCAAATTTCGAAAAAATTAATTTCAAAAGCCCGTACAAAAATTAACGTTCATTTATGAACACTTTTTTTTTGTTACAGGTAGCAAATCTTTTCAATCTTCCATTAAAATGTTTAATCTTAGGTATTTAAAAAAAACTTTTATGAATTTCTAAATGAAAAATAATTCTCAAAATTTAAATAATTTCTTATGGCTATAAATAGCTCAAAAAAAAATCAAAATATTTCGAAAATATTACCATTTATGGGAAATGCTAAAATAAATATTTGGCGAACATATTAGGGTCCAGGGTTATTAATTTTTGAGTTACAAAAGAAAAAAATCAAATATTTCGAGATTGTTTTGCGTAAAAATTACCACTTTTATTCGTTTCTCTTGAACCTTTCTAAAACTAGAATTTTTAATTTTTAACTCTAAAAATAGATTGGATCCAACTAGATTCACTTTTCTATCAGAAAAATATGCTGATCTCGAAAAGCGGAGCGTTTTTACTATTTAAAATGTTGTGGCAGACAGAAAAAAATATTAATAATAATACACATCATCGTAAAATAAATATCGTCGCCTAAGAACCATCATGGCCAATCTCAGTTTTCCCAACTTTTCAGGGTGGACAAAAAACTGTTTTTTTTGTTAGGAATTTTGAATGTTGGTAGACCTTTTGACAGACGATTTATAGCAAACCTATTGGACAAACATCGAAACTAATCACTTGGTCTTATGCGTCTCGAAAATACGAATCTATAGATATTATATAAAACATATATTTGAATTTTTTGAGATTGGCCATGATGGTTCTTAGGCGACGATATATTCTTTCGCTCAGAATTTATAATTATATTACAATATATACAATATAGTGTAGGTATGTCAATAGTTAAAGGCTATATAATTATATATTATATGAATTTATTTGTAAAATATTTATTATTTTTATTGTTATAATAAATTGAACATTTTTTTTAAATCAAATATTGGATTTTATTTTTAATTTCTTCCTTTATTTTCTCTGATCTATTACATAATTACATACAATCTTTTGAAAACATTTCAACTATTGAAATTTAAATAAGCCACGTGGTTAATGGTTTTGACTATATTATAATAAATTTTATAATGCAGAAGTGAGTATAGCAAGACCCTTCTTTCATTTTCTGTAAGACTTATTTGTAGCACTGTAGTCAACAAACAACTGCACATAAAATTATGTTTATTTATAACAATATATTGTTTTCACTTTTTAATGAATTTGATTATAAAATTAATAAATCCTAAAACTATCAAATTCCTAATAATAATGTAAATATAATAAACTCATACATATACAATATATATAGACCATTATAGTTATTGGTCCCGATAAGGAAATTATTGTAACGACATATATTATATATTTTCATACAAACATTTTTATTACTTTTATATGCAAATCGTACAATTTTATATACGACTATAAACAAGAGAAAAATAAATAACAACAGAATTACTTAAACAATAGCTGTAACTTAAAATAATTTACTATTCATTACAAATATCTATTGGTATAAAGTTACTTAAATTTAATAATAATATATTCACAAACAAAATATAAAAAACTACAAAGTATAGTTCTGTGGTGAAGATTCAATATAACGAAAGAAGAAAGAAGTAAATTAATAAATCACAGGTCTTAAGAATAATTTTACTATTTTTAGCATGTAGTTGAACTACTATGTTTATTGTTTATGCGACAATGCAGTCGTAACAACAAAACTAATAATTAAACAAACATAATTTACATAAAAAAAAAAAAAATACACATTTATTATTTGTCACTGTTTCAAAAACAATAAATATAAAATAATAGTTAAACTGAAACTATTTTGATGGTAATATATTAATTAATATACAGAACAATTAAACTTATATCTGGTAACAACAATTTGTTTAACCAGACATCAGGTTCAAATGTCATGGAAATGACATATCAAGGCGGAAACAAGTGAAAAAGTTTTTATCAAAAAAAAAAAAAAATTATAATAATTAATTACAAAATTGCAATTGGCAACTACGAATATGGTAGGTGGACACAATATCATTGTAATTATTAATTACATGGGGTTTGTATATAAATTAACCACAAAATAGTCTAGTTTTTGGCACTTACAAAACAAAATATGGTAATTTTGTTCATTTGAAATAATAATATTACACAATCATCAATGACATGATAGTTAAATAATATTATTACTAATATAATATTTACATCCTATCAACATTGAGCATTGTAATTAATAAGTTCATAATTATTTTCATACAGAAAATAATTAATGGTCTAATAATTAATAATCAACAAATTTAATCATTTAATTAAATTAATATTATTAATTATAAAATAAAGATACATAGTATTTACATTTAAAGCAATATTATTAAACATTCATTTAAGAAAACAATTTTATTGCACTTAAGTCACTTAATTTTCTTAAGTTCCCTTCTCCCATCTACAAAAATGTCCTAACTGTACTCTTATTATATTTAATTTTCTTTAGCTGATGACCTAACACAACATCCCTAATTCACTTTTTCTAAAAAAAAATGTCAAAGTATTTTTTGAATAGTATACATTATTTCTGGAATTAGCCATAATCAATTGAGATCTTAAAAAAGTTTTAATTTAAGCAAATCAAATAGCTGAAACATTAACCACTGTTAAACTATACTCCGGCCCACGAGAGATTAGTACCGTCGTGTGCATGCAGACTGACCGGCCGCGACAGTGTGGAGCCCAATTTTCCCCACTATGTGCCACAGTGTATACAGTTGAGCGTTGCCGATCGACATTGACAGTCGCCGAAACACTGTCGGTTGGTTGAGTGGGGAGATGCGCGAAATCGGACGAGTTTTGGTCGAATAGCGGTCCTGATCTCTCGTGGGCCGGAGTAAAGAAATAATTAAAATAGTTCAGAAATTATTTGTTTTACAATGAAGGTGACAGATCAGACAAATTATAATTAAAACAATTTGATAACAAATATTTTTCCTTCCAAAAAATGTGTTAAACACCCTATTATGTAAGATCTATGCCTTCATAAATTAAATATTCACACTATTGAGCAGTGTTAATACTTCTGAAAAATATTTTTATTTGGGCTTAAATTTTCAAAACATACCACATTTGTGACTGAATATAAGAAAAACAGGATTGCAGGTATAAAACTATTTGTATTTAAAAATTTAAAAATTGAATTGGTAACTATTGTTAAGTATTCATAGCTTGTAATTGGTAAAATAAATCATCATTTTTTAAAAACAAATATTTTGTTTTGATAGCAAAATATTGAAACTCACCAATTCAAACACCATTTACCTTCAAATACCCCAAAGCAAATAATACATTGTTTTTGAATATAACTGATAGAAAAAAAAAAAAAAAATTAAACTTTAAAAGTATTGTTGTCCAGCAATAACAAAACCGGCCATAATTAATTTCTCTATAATATTTTAAATAAAAGGTATGGTGAATGCTAACTCTGAAGTATGGGCCATAATAAAATATTTTAATGAAAACGAGTGATTTACAGATTTATTTCATAAGTTATTTAAAATTGATTAAGTCATACAATTAGACAAAAAAAAAGATCATAGTTTAAAAAATGTAATATTAAATTACGACATTAATTATTCCCTGTATACAAATGATTATGTACTACAATATTTTGTATACAGGGAAATTTACCAAGCATACTCTTAATAACCTTCGTGTCTTAATTTAATATTACGTTTTTCAAATTCTGGGGATCCGATCATGCTTGGGGAATCACTCTGTATATATTTTGTAAGTAAATTTTACCAAAAATAAATTATGAAATTATTAACCATAAGAGCTCTTTTATCATAGTTGGGCAATGAAAATTTGAAAAAAATTATATAAATAAATAAATAAATGTTTAGAAAAGGATTACAAAGAATAGATTATAATTTATTGTTTTAATGTTTTTTTCTTATGAGATCAGGAAGAAGAAAATAGAAAAATACATCAAGAAAATCAGAATCTTGAAATTCAAACTCTCCTCCTCCTCACAACTTAACACTTATGGCGAGTTAAAAAAATACCAATACTTTTTATCAATAACAAAATGTATAATAATAATAATAATAAAAATAAAGAATATCAAAGAACAAAATCTTAAAATCATTCTGCAAAGAAATAAAAGTTAAGTCTTTGAACTTTTTAAATGTTTTTAGTTAAAGCTTCTAACATACAAATTTGTGATAAGTTAACATTTTCATTTGTTTCCTAACAAGATAGAAAGAACTTAACTTAAAAACATAAACTTTTTGGTGGAAGTTCTGTAATATACAAATGTATGAAGTATGACATATCCAAGTTAGTATTTAGTTAAGTTTTATTACAAATTTACACAACATATTATCGAACTATTTAATAATTGGAATCTCAATTATTTCTCAAACATCATTTTAAAAAGTATACTGGGAATAATAAAAAAAAACCAATTTATTCGGCTCACAGAATATCAAACTATGATTATTATAGCTTCAGACTAGAAAATAATTTGCAAATTCATCTATAACTTCATTTTATTGTGCTATAAATCACAAAAAACGCTCCATAGATCTTTCTAGATCAACCAGAAACCACTATAATTCCCCTCCTTTATAAATAATAATAATAAAAAAACATAATACTGAAACATTATGATAACGGTAAATTGTGATAACTGATAATATATAAGGGACATCTTTTAACTTAAGTATAACAGTCCCAAATATTCGTAACTCTCCTTAAACCACAAAAAAAAAAATGTGATGCAAACTACTTAATTTGTTATTTGATGTTACTTGTAGTCAGCGTCAAAATCCAATACAAATAATTTGGTTTCTTCGGTGCCATTGCGGCTGCCTACTGCACATACTAACTTTGTTTCATTTGCACGTATTCGCCATACAACCCCACCACTACCACCACTTTCTAGTGCAATTAGATTTCTAATAAATTCACCTAAAATTTAAACAATAAAGTTCCTTGAATTAATGCATCTTTTACGCTAAAAAATATAATATTACCAGTTTTTACGTCCCACAATTTCACAGTCCCATCATCGGAAGAGGTTACCACAAATCTAGTATTAAATTGTAAACATGTAACTGCAGAATTATGTTTATTTGAACCTGTTCATAAAAAATTTAAATAAATAACAAATAATTAAAAAAATATTTAACTACAATTATTTACCCGACAACGTCTGTAAGCATTGTCCAGTAAGTATATCCCATACTTTGACCGTAGAATCTGCATTTCCAGACACTAAGATATTATCTCTTAGCTCCATACCAGATGTTAATGATTGATGTCCCATTAAAGTGTGCTTACATGTACCAGTCTCTACATCCCATACTCGTATGCTAGTATCTAAAGATCCACTAACAACATGAGTACTATCAAACTGTAAACAATTGTATCAAATTATTAAATTAAATTTTATAATTTAAGATCGTATAAATATAAGTATATACTATACAATATAAAATGTATAGTGTAATATAATTATATAAAATATATTGTAAACATTTACTAAATTTAAGTAATTAAAAATAAACTAACTTGTAAAGAATATACACGATTAGTGTGACCAGATAATGTATGTAAACAAATTTCACTTTCTGCATCCCATACTTTGACTAGGTAGTCATAAGCACCACTAACTATTAATCGCCCATCATATTGGACACAACGTACAGCAGCCTGATGACCAAGGAATATAGACAAGCATTGACCCGTTTTAATATCCCATAACCTGAGTGATGCATCCCTCGATCCACTTACAACTCTAAAGAAATTAATAAATATAAATTGTGTCCTACAAATTTAATTTTAAATTGATATAAAAATAAATGTCTTCCTACTTATTTTCGTGTAAATGCATACAACGAACTGTTGAAGTGTGACCATACAATGTATGTGTACATTGACCAGTTTCTGCGTTCCAGACTTTTAAAGTGCGATCAGTGGAACCGCTAATTATAACATTACCAGCCATTTGTGATGACCATACACCACCAGTATGCCCAACCAATGTACGCAAACACTATATAAGTACCCAATGTATTAAATTAACTAGTTATAGTAAATAATAGTTACTCAGCATAGTATTTGAAACATGAATAACAATAACAAACTACTTTAAAAACTTACTTTTCCAGTTAGAACTGACCAAACTTTAAGTGTATTGTCATCAGAACCACTAACAACCTGATTTCCACAAAATTGTAAACATGTAATAACATGATCATCATGGCCTTTGAGTATTATTGGCATTCTTATTGGTTTTACTCTCCAATTCATTTCAATTGCATGGTGTCTCATGTATGAAGACTGAGAAAAAAATTATAAATTTGATAAATGTTAAATATTTATAGTATTAAATGTTTAGTTGTCAAAACTAGAAACAATTAATATTGTATAGTCAATTTTAAAATTTATTGTTAACAAACATACCTTCCACGGTGAGGTAACACTGCGATTTTTTGAACACTTAATAGTAGACGGGTCCGTCAAAGGTATGCTAACGTTTTGGCACTTTTCACGCCATAGTAAGTTGTCTTCAGATAAAAACCTCCAACTATGACATGTTTGAGCTGCTTTTAACAAGTCTTTGGGTTCCAAATATGACAAAACATATAATGCCAACTACAATAAAACAATTTTTAACTGTAAAAATAAATTCATAAAATAAAATATTATTTAATGATTATTATACTTCTTTAGGAAGTAGAGAAATAAAGTCTCGTTGGAACTGTGGTTCAATAAGCTGTAACATATGACGAACTTGAGTAGGTTCACATTCATCCACCAACATATCTATAGCTAACATCCTTTCCGCATTTGACCATTTCTGTAAAAAAAAATATAGAAATTAATTCATATAACTAGAGAATAAAGAACATTCAAAATTCAAACGCCAAAATTTTACAAACCGAAAAAGTTTTTAGCCATTCCATCATTTCTTCAGGAGGATCATCTTTGGACGGTATACAACTTCGACGAATCTTTATTTTATCAATTTTATCTAATTCATTATCAGCCAATCTAGGCGTCAGTCTAAAAATAATATAATTTAAATTTAAAACAATTTTCACAATTCATTGAATTTATATATTATATTATATTAATATAGATGATGTTTAAACATAATTAAAACAAAATAAGTTTCAAATAAATGTCTAATAAGTAATTATCATAGAATATGTTTTTTTATCTGAGATTTTACAATTACTTTCTAATGTATTCTTAATACTCTATAAACATATACTTTTTTGTCCATTTTGATATATTATTTGAACTACATTAAGAAAAGTTTTGGGTTTCAAATGGATCTACTCTAATTTTCAGATCAACTAAAAATTAAGCTTGTAGAGAATGGATAAGGGAACATGCAGAGCTAGAGAGACCTTATTCTAATTCTAAACCATGAGTATAGTAGACAGAATAAAAAAAAAAAGATTACAGAGGGACATGCTTGGAGGAGTCAAAACAAGTTTATAAAAGAGGTAAACTTTCTGGTTATTCAAATGTCCTTACCAATAATAATGAAATTGGTTTTTTTTTAAATATTATTAAATAATAAGTATAAATAGAAACAATTAAATATGGGAGCAAGAAAGTGGATAGATGTGTAAGCCGATTTAGATTCTACTTCTGGCTATACTCTACTATCAATAACTAAGAATGATGAAACATATTTTACAATTAAACCCCAAATTATTATAAAATTAATTTTTTAAATTTTTTAAATGTAATTATTTTGATTAAATATGGTACATCTAGTAATTACAATACCTACCAGGGTATTAAAGATATGATCCCAATTATTAAGCAACTATGCAACTATATAATATAATTATGTACGGTCTTTATATTTTATAACATACCTTTCAAGATTCAAATTGTTTTGATCATAATATTGTTTTTTGGACGGAAAATCTTCAGACGTTAATGTGGAATTTGATATTTTTCGTTTTCGCTAATAGAAATAAAAGTAATTTTAAAATACAATATTAAATTTTTAGTTTATACCAAGTATCACTAATAATTGTAGAATAATTTTATTTAAAATATGAAATTTATAAAAAATAATACTTTTTACTTTAAAATGTAAATGTAATAAAATATAAAAATAATTAGATTCATACGACAGATTAACTTAAATGTGTAAAAATTAGTAACATATTAGTTGAGTGTTATTTCTAATGGAATGATAAAAAATAAAAGTAGATTGATAATTTATTGTTTTAACATTTTAATGTAATTAAGATTAATAAATATTGTGAAATCAATTCAATGAACTCAAATTTAACCTAACAAATAAGTTAATAAAAATGAAACAGCACAATTTTCTGGATAGAAATTAGAAATCCTAAAAAACATAACTATCTTAAAGTTCCATTATTTGTTCCAAAATATTAGTAAAATAAAAAAAATTACTTACCATAACACCATTAGCATTAGAAGCATCTTCTTGTTCACTAGGATTATCCGTCCAATCATCATTAACCCAGTCACCGGGTAAAGGACTCTCATCGGAATAAATATCTTGGTCTGTACATGTACTATCAACTAAATGAAGATTAAATACATTTTTCATTTCAATGTTAGCTACTCCAATTTCATCTGAATCTGTGGTTGGTGCAGATTCTTCTGCTATCAATTCTTGTTCTGCTGTCTCCAATACAACAGGACACATGGTCGGACTTTGGCTGGTAGAGTCACTCTTTTCAAGGCACGATGTAGACGGGTCTTCAAAATCCAGTTGATCGCCTTCCATTCTGTAAAATAGAATTATAGTTATGAAAAATCATAATAAATAAAAAAAAACATATAGTTTTAATGAAAAGTCTGTGTTACCACATAACCAAGTGTCCCAATTCTGTAAAATTCAAATTTATAAACATAAACCTAATAAACTTATTTTCTTTGTGGTTTTTACTCTTGATAAATATTTAAAAAAATAATTAAACAATAGTTATAAGATAAAAATGTATAATTATAATATAATATATATTAGTGTATTATTTCATTAAATAGTAAACACTAATAAAAATAAATATCTAACATACCTAACCATATACGACCAACTTGAAATATATTAGAAAATTAACCTACTAAAATTCTTAAATTTTATATTGTGATTGGAGCAATGATTAATGATTATATTGATTTAACAATGACATTTTTATTTTTTGAATCGCATCCTCGAGAAGCAGTACCAATTTTCAATCTTTACCTTTGATAAATACTATTATGATAATTAGTAATTATATACTATTTAATATACCTATGTAAATTGTAATTGGCAAAAATTAATTTAACCGACTGTATAAGTAATAGCACTATAAATATATAATGTAACAGATTATTCTCAGAAATATAGACTGACAGATTTTCTCCATTCAGGATTGTTTTTTATTGTAAGTATACAATTATTTATCATTGAATTCTAATTTAATACATAAAATGCAGTAACCTATTCAATGTATAAAAGTCGAGAATTTCTAAGTTTTTTTTAATTTTTTTATACAATATTACATTAAATAAATAAAATAAATGTAACTAGATACTATAACTAATTCTTGCCAATTATTGACATAGAATTTGTTACTAAAAATGTTAAGGAATATTTTTGTTACATAATAATGCTAACTAGTAGATATTAAGAGTGTACATTAGTAAAAATAATTGCAAGAGATTTATGTTACATTAGTATATTTAAATTTGTTAAATATGGAAATTATATCAAAATGTATTTAAATAAATAATGAAAAAATAAAAATAATAAATATTGACCAATGACCTATATATTTAGCTAAATTTATTAAACAATAAATATTAATTTTAAAATATTTAACAGATCGACACTTTGTAGGTCAAATAAATAATATAAACAAAATAATTACATGTCATGAGTTTATTTTAATTTAATGATGATTCATAAAGTTGAGCTAAGCAAAAACATGAATTTGTCTTCTTGCATTTGTAAGTATTATCAAATAATGCATATTTTTCCACCACTTTTAAATTTTACAAACTAATCTTATTAGTAGCATAGGTATGAAATAATACTATACATGCTCAGCTATAAAAATAATCCTAACATTTTTTTTTAAATTAAACACACACACACACACATATCTATATGTATATATTTAGGTATACTATATGCATGATTGATGATTTAGCAAATGCCTATAGAACGTTAAAATAATGGCTGGTTACGCCAAGTTGTGTGAAAATAAATTTCTTATATAAATTTAAGAATAACTATTCAATGGAATTAGTTTTAAATTGTTTATACCTACATAAAAAGTTATAAATAATAAAAAGCCCTACAGGGCTACAGCCTAAGTAGGAATATGTTTGAGGTTATATGTACTCACTAACAGTGTTTGTCCAAGTACACTATACGTTCAATAAATGAAGCGCAAGAGATTTAAAACCATCTAGCAGAGACACCCCCACAACCGATGGATTTTAAGGTGCATAAAATATCCGATTTTGGTGAAACATGCGTTTCGAGAGTAAGATCTCAATTTAATTGGTCGATGACGTAACTGTTGTTTTTAATTTAACTTCAAAACCGAACACTTCTTAACAATACCACGGGCAAATCAATTGAATAACGTATTGATGATAATTACCATAAATATGGTCTTCTTAATGGTAGCAGGTGTCGGACTCCTTGCGTGAAAACGAACGACAAAATTTCAGATACGATTATGAGAAATAAATACTCGTCACTGGCCCCTGGGACACCCTTCCTTCACCAACGACCCATGACGAACTAGCACGTTATCAACAATCAACAATATTGTTATTGATAAGAATCAAACAATATACTAAACTTACCGAATCTCACGTTTCAAAACTGAAAATTGTGTACCTTCTTCCTCTTCCCATGAACCATCGTAATTTACAAAAGCGTTGAGTAATAAAGAGTAAAAGTCTAAATAATTTTAATAATAAATTATTAATGTGTCTATTTAATTTTAAAAAATTTTCTTTTTTATTTCTATGTTATCATTAAAATTGGTAAAAATATCACAGAATATAACCTCAAAAATATTTTTTTATTAATTAATTAATAATTTAATAGATAATATCCATATCAGTAAATATACCGAATAATATACTTTATTATTTTAATATTGCATACCTATTTACAATTTGCATATATTATGTGCATTCTACTATGTTTACATCCGGCATAATTTTTCATAGTTCATACAATAAACTTCGAAAGATTAATAGTTAATACCCTATTCTATATCCTCAAGTCCGTAGTCCATAGTCCTGCTCATACCGAATCATTTGTAGAGCATTAATCGTATTATTACTCTTGTATACCAAATATAATACATTTTAATTATTATTAAAAATAGATACTAATATATATTATATTCGATCACATTGGTCACATCAAACATTCACAATATATTGAAAACTACTAATACGTTTGTTCTATTTGTTTTTCATTTTAAGAAGTGTATTAATTTTTATTATTATATAAAATCATTAGTGCCTAGATTATTTGTTAAAATTTATTATGGCTGTACCGTCTCCAAAATCACCTGAACAGTCAGAACGAAGTCGAAAATATGACAGACAACTGAGGTGATTTTTTAATTTTTTATCATCAATTGCTTTTAACACTATCAACATTTAGAACCTAGTATTGTTGAATAAGAAACCTTAACCAATTAACTAACAAAAATAATAAATATACAGTTTTATCCGTAGCCCCCCTCCCCTGTTTTGAATTATATTTTAGTTTAAAATATTATTTCTCAGGGTGTGTGCTGTTGATACAATTTTAGCCCCCCCCAGATAACTGTCCGGGATGTCCCTAGTGGTATGAATATTATTATTCTACTTTTTATTTAAGTCTATGTTTAAAATTAAGAAATATTTATATTCTATATTCATACCCATAACAGTTATCTAACCTAAACAAAAATGTCACAAATAGTATGCTAATTAGAATTAATATCATTCAATGTTTTATTCTAAATTATTATTTAAGAACACTATTGTTTACTTGTACTAAATGTGTTAAAGTGTGTTTATCATAATATTGCTGTATATACCTACCTATGCCTGTATTATTAATATTACCATTGATTATTAATACTTAGTTTACTTTAGATTATGGGGTGATCAAGGGCAGCAAGATTTAGAAACTGCTCATGTGTGTTTAATTAATGCTACGGCATTAGGAACAGAGATATTGAAATCATTAGTATTACCTGGTATTGGAGCATTTACTATAATTGACAATGAAGTTATAACTGAAGAGGATATAGGTTCTAAGTAAGTTCTATCAAATCTATATTATTTTGATTAAAATTGTAATCATCTATTTTTCCATTAGTTTCTTCCTTACAGCAGATAGAATAGGAGAAAAAAGAGGATCAATTGCTTCACAACTCCTATGTGAATTAAATCCAGACACAAGAGGTCACTTTATTGATGAATGTTTACTAAAGTTATTAGATTTGAATCCCGGTTTATTTAATACATTTAACGTGGTTGTCACTACGTCGCTACATGAGAAGTATAAATAATGATAGCTAAAAATTATACCTAAATGTAAATTATATATAGTAATAGAAAATTGTAATTGTTTTTCTTTTTAGAGAAATTATTGATCTGTCTCATAAGCTATGGACTTACAATATTCCTCTTTTAGTATGTCAAAGTTATGGATTTTTTGGTTCTATGAGACTTCAGCTTGCTGAACATACTATGATCAAAACCCATCCAGACAACCAGAATCCTGATCTTCGGTTAGATTGTCCATTTCAGAAACTTAAAGAACATTTTGATACTTATGATCTAGAAGCTCTCGATCTTACAAATCATTTACATGTTCCTTATCTTGTAATATTATATAAGCATTTAGAAAAATGGTGTAATGATATTGGTGATGTCAATGCACTGCCTGAAACATATAAGCAAAAACAAGTTATCCGGGAAAATATAAAAAATAGTTAGTATTATTTTTCTTTTTTTTTTAATAACTCATTAACATTAAAATAATATAAGATCAAGTTTAAATTATAATTATTGTCTCTCATTAATAAAATAATATTTTTGGTAGTATAAGATAAATCATTTTAATTAATAATTATGTATATAAGTATAATATAGATAAAATCAAAGCTTTATTAATCAATATCTGATTACTACTTAAATTAAATGTTACATTTAACTTCAAAGAATATAAAATTAAAAGTACAAATATTGATAAACCCATCATTATACTAAATGGAAATAGACAACTAATTTTAATACAAATAAAAAAAAAAGTATATCCTTTCCTTAAAGAATTATTATTATTTATATTAATTAAAATATACTAACATTTTTACTTTCAATTTTTTTAAGTTAACATTAAAATTATACAAATATATTTAAAAATTAAAAGTAAAAGAAAAAGAAAATGTGATTAAGTACCTTCGAAGTAATCAGATAGAAATAGAATATATAATAAACCATTAGTTTTTAACAATTGAGTAAAAAATATAATTTTTGCCTGAATGTACTTTAGGTATTAGAAAACATGAAAATGGTACTTTGCATCATGAAGAGAATTTTGAAGAAGCAATTCGATCTGTTAATTTTGCATACAATCGTACATCATTGTCAGAAAATATACAGCTTATACTTAAAGATGAAAAGTTAATGAATTTGACATCAAACGTTGGTAACTAAATTATAAATATTGTGAATAAATTTAATTAATTATAAACTAATTTAGAGTCAACCTTTCTGGATAATGGCTAGAGCGCTCAAGGATTTCGTAGATAATGAAGGATGTGGCAGGCTTCCAGTTCGTGGAACACTACCCGATATGACAGCTGATACTTTTAAGTACATAAGTTTGCAACAGTTGTAAGTTTTTCATAATTCCTTTTTAATGGCTTAACATGATGCAAGCATTCACATTATTGATATATGTTTAGATATCATGAGCAAGCTGCCAAAGACGCAGAGGCAGTCTACAACCGTGTCCAACAACTTCTTCAGGATGTTAACCTCCCTGATGATACAATCACGGAACAAGATATTAAAATATTTTGTAAACATGCATCTGAGTTATGTGTTATTAGAGGTACACGAATAGCTGATGAGTATGAACGTAAGGGAAATGCTGATAATGAGATATGTGAGTTTATTGTTTAGCTATATTCAAAAATCATAGGCGTTTAGGGTTTGCTAATACATACTCAGCTACTCCTAGAAAAAACCCATTAATGCTCTTTTTAAGTCCATATTTTTTTTAAAGATTCAAGAATAATTAATTTCAAGTATTTTTTTCAAAAAATTTCTTTGCAGTGATAATTTTCCTAATTTTATCGGAAAAACGCTTATTTTGGATAAAAAACAACTTAAACTCCAGTCAATACATATTTTATTTATCTATCAATTTTGTATTTTAATATTATTAATTGGCAATACTATTACTGCTCTTTTTTTTCTGTTTATTGGGAAAACCTAATTATTTTGTTGCAATTTATTGGTTTTGTACATAGACTTATTAATATATGACAGTGTTGTTTAGGAACGCGTTCCTAAAGGAATGATTCCTGGAATTGATTCCTTTTTAGAGGAACAAATGAAGGAATTGATTCTTTTATTTTTAAAAGGAATAGGAGCGTGAATTTATTCCTTATTTTTAGGAATAGGAACGTAAATATTATAATTCCTTTGTTCTTCTCAGAAATGTTTTAAAAGTTCTCTTTCTCTCTCTCTCTCTCTCTCTCTCTCGCTCTCTCACTATTAATGGGTATAAAAGTACCTAAGTTGTATGCTATATTTTTCTAACCAGGTTGTACCTGAACCTTAATTAGGAATATGTTTTACTACCCATAGATTGAGTTAAGTATTTGTTTTATTGTTGAACATGATTTACATTTATTATTAGCTCAAAGCCTTGAAGATCCAGACAGCTTGATCGAACATTATATCATACTGCGTGGTATAGAAAGATTCTATTCGGAATATTATACATACCCTGGTGAAATTGATGAACAAGTTGAACCTGATATTCCTAAGCTTAAGGTAAACACTAGAATTATATCTTGAAAAGCTTTACATTTTGTAATATATCACATATCTTTAGTTATGCATATCCAAACTATTAAGTGAATGGGGTTGTATGTCTTCCACAAAAGAGGACTACATACACGAATACTGTCGCTATGGGAAGTCTGAGTTGCACAGTGTATCTTCGTTCATTGGTAAGATTTTACTATTTATTTATCCTTAAATGATGATACATTTGTACTAAATTAATTACTATTCAATTTCATTTATTCACAAATATCTATATTTATTTTCAGGTGGTTGTGTATCACATGAAATAATAAAAATAATCACACGACAATATAAACCAGTAAACAACTCGTTTGTATTTAACGCTATTAACTGCAGTACTGAATCTTTTACATTGTAATCTTAAGACTTTAAGAACCAATAATTAGGAGTACAATTATTTAATATTATTTTTTTTCACTTCAATGTTAAATCAAACATAATTTTAAATTATTTTTAAAAAAACTTATAAATAATAAAAAAATACTCATTGTTTGATTACAAGTTTCCATTTATTATTTTAATTTAATAATACATATTATTACTATATTAGCAGATTGTAGATAAATAATAATATAGGTTGATTCACCAAACATGCTCATCCCCCTTTCTTTTCTTGAATAATGCATTTATTCAAAATCTGATTTTTGGAATTTATAAAAATACTTTAAGACCATATTTTCAAATTATTGATATTTTCTGTACTACTTAAGGAGTGTCCTGTGGAGATATAAACTTTTCTTTTTGAATGAAATGATAACACTCTTTTTCAACTTAAAATTATACAGTGGATAATTTTTCTAAAATTGTTGACATATCAGAAGCAAAATTTGTTTAGTTTTAGAGTTTTTCAACTTTGTGTTCTAAAGATAAAAGGCCATTGGTAATAGGTTTATAAGATTTAGGGGCTTTGGTGATATAAATATTGTAGTCATTATTATTAATAATTTGTAAAAATGGCCCAAGTATAATAAATACTATATCTAGTTTTACGTATATTTTATATTTACATAAAATCATTTTTAAGAACTATTATTCTTAATATAAGCATTTGTATAACTAAGAAACTACTCATTCAAATTATGAATTAGCTATAAAAAAATTATCCAATAAATAGTTTACAAAAAGGAGTGTTCTCATTTGGAAAAAAAAGTTGCATCGCCACAGGATATTCCTCAAGTAGTACAAAAAAAAAAAAAAAAAAAAATCAAGAATTTGAAAATATGATCTATGGCATATATACTCATGAATATATACATAATATTTAAAAATTCGGAATTTGAATAAAATCATTATTAAAGGAAAAACTGGTGGTTGGGAATGCTTGGTGAATCACCCTGTTTACTATAACGCATAGGCGTGCGCACCTCTTAAGTCATTTCCACCCCATTGCTGGAATTCGGAAGTATTATCACATCAAAATACATTTTAATTTTCTGTTTGAGTATGTTTTATTTATGAATTTTATAGTATGTATATTGTATAGTGTATACTTTTTTTGTGGGTGGGGGGGAGGTGGTGGTCTATAAATTATCCACTAGCCACGTCTGCTACGTACTTCTGGTACGCCTATACTAAAACAGTTCTATCAAATATTATAAAATATTTGGTTGATTGGTTCTATCTACGACCATGATTTGCTTTTTAAGGTGCACTGTCACTATATTGCGTATGGTTAACCCGTTACCACAATATACCTAATAGCTGAAAACATTCAACTACTAACAACTATAAGTTAAGAAGTGGTTTTTGATGATAAGTGGAACCATTTTACCTGAAAATTATTATTTAATTTGGTGGATAACAAAAACATTTGAAAAAGACTACACAGTCACATGTATTACAAACGTGTAATAGTACCTTAGTACCTTACAAATATGAAGAATGAGCTATGAGTTTATGACTATTGCCTCTGACTATTATAGGATAGTTAGCTTCTACTCTTAGAATAAAAATTAATAACGTTTTTATGCTCACGCTTACAAGACGAAAACTATAGAACACTTTGTTCGGAACATACAAAGCCAGCCATTCCTGTGGGGTGGTTTTAAGTGTTCAAACAGAAATATATTGTTGGGAAGTTGGTAAAATTGTATCTTCTATGCTCCATTTAGTCTGATATGCTCAGTCTGTGTACGGTGTAATTGTAGTGGAATAAAATAGTCTATGGTATTAAATTTGTGAAAAATATTCTTTAATTTATTTTGGTACTTTTTCGAATTTACATAGGTAATGGAAATTGTCAAAAACTAAAAAATGAGGCAATACAATTTGTTTTAATGGTCATAATATGTACCTACAACGTTAAGCATTTGGGAATAAATAAAATAACATGGCGTTGTATGAAAGCGGGTTCTCTCAAGTGTACGGGGACAACATAATATGTATACCGAATCGCAACATAATAATCATGTAGAAGAAAATCCTCATGATCGTGTACCCGATACAGAAGAAATAAATGTTACTATAAAAAAATAAATGTATATAGAAAATGAAGGATCAAGTAACTTCTTCTAATATGATAAATTCTGTAGAAATACCTATTTGTGGAAAATGTTTCTAAAATATAAATAGAAACTACAGCTAAAATGCCCAACAGAAGAGTGAAACCATTGTTTTTCAAAATTAGTAGGCCACAATCATCATCCTGTTTGGACATTTATTAAAAAAAATGAGGTTAGAGTTGTCTTCTGACGAAGCATCAAGCAAAGTCAGCCCAATTTGCAATAGGCAATTTAAATAGAAAAAAAAATTATGAAAACATGCAAGACAAATTATATAAAATATGTGATTAACACAACCAACAATTTGATGAATATTTGACAGCTATTGGTTACACAATAAGATTATTTTAATATTATATTATTTTCTTTTAATATTTGTATACATTATTACACTATATTATACATATTTGTATTCGTAACAATATGACTACATTATTATAATATATTTTGTTGACTCATTTTAATTATTATTATATAATATTATGAATATTTGACGGATATGCTTACACAAGACATTTTAAAATTTAAATTGTAAATTTTAACTTTTTTTAAATTGTATTAATTGCATTCAATTTGAAAATATAATAGAATATAATATTCAACTATGTATTAAATTTATTGTTGTAGCACAAAATTCAAAAATAAATCCTTGTCATTTTTATCCGTGGCTTTTTTATTGGTGACTTTTTGCACAGATTTCTATATATAGAGTATAGAAGTCTGTGATTTTTTGTCTCGTGGATTTTTATCCCATACCTTTTTTTATCAATGGGTTTTTTACCCGGTTAGGTACCTAAATCTGGATGCCATATGACCACACAGGTCTGATTATTCGACCTTGGTAACTAATGAAGTTAGGTTAGGTTAAAACTTCCTTATCTTAGTCCGTGATTTTCCCCAACCACCAAAACAGACCATGGATTTTATCATGAAATTAAACAATCACAAAATTGTATGATTAGAATCATTAGATATTAGATTATTAGACGTTCAGACGGTGACAATATTATTGAGTATTGAAGATATTTCCAATTTCATAGGTGTTGAACACTCAATATTTGAATGTTTACATTATCGTAATATAATAATATAATTTATAATATTCATAATAATATATGCTAGTACAATAGTATCCTACACTGGTCAGTGTCTCTTACGCAATGCCGTCGCCGAACATGATCTCCGAACCGCTCGACGTCAGGTAGGCATAGCTTATGGTCGTCTAGGTTTATTTTATATGCTTTGAGGTTTCACTGCACTAGTATAGTCGATTGTTGTCCGTGTTTCAGTTTTGTCATAGAACAGCTAGAAAACGACGAGATCCAAGAGGGCTGTCTGACTGCCGAACAGTACACCAAACTGTTTTCCGCTTACTTGTACACCAACGAACTGTGTGCCGCAAAATTCTTATGGCGCCGTGTGCCCGAACCGATCAAGGCCGATCCCGAGTTGCATAAGGTCTGGTCGATTGGCAAAGCCCTCTGGGCGAAACACTACACACAAGCATACGAACTGATCGACTGCAAGTGGTCTAATGTACTGGAGCCCATCATGATTGCGATCAAGCGCCGCATCCAACAGGACACATTGAAATTCATTAGCATGCACTACGAAAACATACAACTTGACAAATTTCAAACGTTCATGGGGGTAGACAGAGAACAAGCAGAAAGAATAGTGGAGAGCGAAGGTTGGACATGTAGAAATGGATATGTCTTGCCGATAGCAATCAGTGAACCCGATGTGGGACTAGGTGGTAGTCAAGAAATTCTGGACAGATTAGTGACTCTATCATCATTTACGTCTTATATTGAAAATTGAATCAGTTTTTTGTTTGTGTATTTAATCAATTTAAGGCTGATCCTAACCAGTCTACTAAGATATCTTGGTTAAAAATTAATTTTAACAAATAATGTTTGTGTCAAGTGTATAAAAATGTAATCTATACATAAGGATAATACCTATTAAATTTATATATTTTATAAATTTCTTCTTTTTTATTTTATATTTATACATAAAACATAATTTCCGATGTTAATAAACAGTACTTATATACTATGTGTCATGTCAAATAAAATCTCTACTGCATTGTAGATATAAAAACTATTCCATTTAAAAACTAAACATCCATACTTAAAATTATTTTATTAGGTTCTAATTATGCCAGAACTTTTCATAAAAGAATATTATAGGTGGTCAAAAGACAAGAAAAACATAATTTCAATACTTCAGCAACCCTCGCAATATCAAAAAAAAGTTACACAAACAGTTAATAAACTTTTAAATATTTTCAAATATATACAATCTTAATCTATTACCTTACCTATGAGACACTTCAATTATATAAATTAAAAGTACTTTAACTTATATGTTTAATGAACACATACAAATTACTTGCCTTAACAAAGAATAAATAACTTATTGTTTGTATAACTATATAATATTAGTTTATATTATTATATTTTTAATTGTAATAGATTCACACTTTTGTGAAATGGGTACTATTGATTCTTACATTTTTATAAAGCTTATAAAAATATGTGAAAACAAAACATTTTATTTGACTATTTCTTAGATTATCTGATTTTTTAATAGCCATTGGGCATTAAGGTTAACTCCTTAGGTCTCATAACCCATAGGCTACCATTTACCAGATATCCTTTCCAAAATCATTATATAAATGTTAATAATATTATTTATTAAGTAATAAGCACAGCTTTAGATAGTATCTAAAACTGCAGTAATAAGTAATATAGCTTATAACATTTTATTATAATATTTATGTACTTAAACCACAAACATTAAAGTTAACACGACCTCAGTTTCCTACCTTATGAAGAAAAAATTTTAAAGTGTTTACAAATTATTAACATTTGTAAAATGTAAATAAAAGCAATTATCCATAGCTTATTTACCTATTTACATGGAATCTTTTTTTTAAATTTCCAAAGCCGTAAAAGTTGAATATTTTATACATTTTTAAATTTTAAATTTAATACATTTTGTAAAAATTCTAGCTTTAAAAGCTTATAAAAAAATGTGTACTTGTGTATTTTTAATATTTTTCTATTGTGACAATACATCATAATTTTTTACCCAACAAATAAAAGTTTATTAAGATTTATAGAAAAAATAACAAAAAAAAAATTAGGAAACTGAAAATGTTTTTAAGCCGCTCAAAATATTTTGTTAATTGTATCGTGTATAGAAATGCTACATTCGGTTAAAATTTCATGAATCTATGGTTTTTTGTTTTAGGATTACACCAAAAATTTATTGTCTTTCCTAAATTTTTGTTTTATTTTTCCCTCCACTTTTGAAAATTATTGATAATTTTACCTCCGGAATGCACCAACTAGATTCACTTTCTCATCGAAACAAGATACTGTAGGAAAAAATCGAAGTAGTTTTACTGCCCCAAACGGTGATGATAGATAAAAAAACACAAGTAAAATCAATAAACTCCGATCGGAATCTAAAAAATCATCTATATACGGGAAAGTCACAGTAACTAAAAACATGGCTCCAAATGTGTGTCGCTCGAAAATTAAAACATTTGGACTAAATAATTTTTAAAAAACCCTGTTTAATGTAGTTTCAATAAATAAAGAAAAAATGTCCATATCTTGTATAGTTTTTTTTAAATTCACCTCGGAAATGTGGGAGTCTATTACCCCGCACATATTATAATTTAGAAGCAAGGACAGAAAATATTAATAATTTACAAAATGCATTCATTAAATAAATGAATAGTATATTGTAATATATCTTAACCACTATTCAAATACCTGTATTTTCTGGGAGAAGAAAAATATTTCTATAGCCAGTTTCACTTATAATTAATTATTAATTATCTCGTATCAGTAATTAATATTTAAGAAATATTGATTAACAAAGAATTCAATATGTATAGTAATTAAATAACCAATTATTATGACTGGTATCTACGGACCAAAAGTAATCATTTCAGAAGACTATAGGAATAGTTTTTTTGAGAGCTTCAGATGAAGGTGTGCCCGAATGTGTTGTCAGTCAGTGTTAGTTATACTAACAAATAAGATACCGAAATATATGTCCAGTAATTTTAATTTTGTGATGTTAAGCTTTAATATTAGAATGAATTGATCTATTATTAAGCTTGAAGGTAAGAACATTTTGTTATCTATGTTTCTAGTTGAATTTTCTTATGGTATTTTAACTTTCAAGTAAGTTACCAATTATGACTAATGAGTATGTAAAATAATACAATTTTAAAATGCTTATTACACGGCACTCGCTTAAAAATGTAAGTGTTATAAAAAACCAACAAGAGAACACTTAGTTCTGCCTTTAATTTTGATAACAGAGCAATTCACTCTACTATAAAAGCTATCAACACAATAAATTTTTATGTAGTACTAAAAGCAAATTTTCTATGTGGTCTGTTTGAAAAACGGATACAGTGCACGTGGCTGTAGACATTCACTTAATGAATTATGTTTCTGAAAATTAAACTGTTTTGACAGTGGAACAAAATATTGTGCCTAGTTTTTATTACGTCAAAAAGTATGGTACATTTTAATTACTTCAATTATAATAAATTTGTAATACAATAATCATTAGTAGAACAAATACATTAATTTCATGTAGTATAATATTATTTATATTTCTAGATAAAACGTGATAAAGTCATAAAGGAGTTTTTTAAAAAATATGTACAGTAATTTGTTGATATTTGGTACATTTTAATCATTATTTAATATTTGTTAAATTTTGAACATGTCATAATTATGTTAAAAATGTAAATATTATTCAAGTACCTACTAATTTCATGTATATATGTGTAATATGTACATAACACATAATTTAGATTAAAACAAAATGATTTATGTTCTATAGAACTCACAATAATTTCTATTATCAAGTTTTTAATTATTTTGTTTCATTCACTTTGGTAAATAACACAATGTTTTTCTTAATATGAATATATTTTCACAAAAATATTTAAAAAAGTAATAATGAGAATACGAGTAAAAACCAATAAATAAGAACTTGATGTTAATACATACAAGATTACAATAATTTATTATTAAAAATTAAATACAAACAGTCAGAACTGACAGATAAAACACATGTTTTAGAATAAAGATAATACATTTTGTTTGTATACAATATTAGTCTATTAGAAAAAGATAGAAAGAGAGAATAACAGTAATCCAATATATTTAGCTGTTAAAAGATATTTACCAGTTTTAAAAATTCAAACAAACTAAAAAAAAAAATAACTTTCACAGAAGAAAAAACAATAACCAAATAATCTTTAAATAATTACCTGCACCATAATGGGCTTATAAGCTAATTGATCTGTGCATAAAGAAAGGATTTTATTTAAATATTTTTCCAAATTAATATGCGCATGAATATTTATAGGACATTGGATTATAATCATTGATGGCAACTTAATTATATATATATATATATAATTGTTATGGACCTTAACAGTAGGACTATGCACAAAAAATTTGCATTAAAAATTAAAAATACAATTTTTGCTTTTCGTTTTATAAATTAATATTATATATTTATTTTCAAATTTAAATGTTTTCTTTTTCAAACGTAAAATTAAAATATCTTACTAAAATAAATATTTTCCAGCGATAATACCCAACAATGCAACTACTATCGCCAAGCCAACCATCAGAGCGATATTGGCATTTCTGTTTTGCATATCCAAATGCTGACTACCACCAACAGAACGTTTTTGAGATTGCTGGTTTTTGATTTCATATTGAAGCTGCAATAACTCTTCCTATGATGCATAAAATTCAATTAAAAAACAACTTCAAAATTTAAAAAAAAAAAAATGTAAATTGTAATATCTCACTTTCAATTTCATATTTTCTTGTCTTAAGATTGTCTCTTCCTCACGTAATTCTTTTACTTCAGTGGCTGCTTTTTGTAGTTCTGTTTCAGTATTTGTTTCTAATACAGCCTGTTAAAAAAATGTTTTGAAATATTTTTGAAATATTGTACTAATCAAAATACTTACTGTGGTATCATCATGAATGTTTTTAGATTCTAATAACTGTTCAACTGTAGGCATTTCAAACGAGCATTTTAATTTAGAATCCATTATTCTACCTTCTTCAACATCTCTCCACTATAATAAAATAAATAGTTGTTATTTATTTTTAAATATAATTAATGTTTTATATAAACTATAACTATATTCAAAAAAATTAAAACAAAAACCAAATTAAATTAAAAATATATAGGTACCTATATACATTTTTTTAATTTGTTTAAAATAAATTGTTAATATTTTTTGACTTAAAAATTGTTACGAAAGATTGAAGTAACCTGAAAAGTTTTGCCATCTTCTCCATAGTCAGCAACAGGATCGATAACAACAGTCTGTACCAAAAACTTGTGTTTATTTCTTTCATTGGCATCATAGTCGAATGGTTGCAATATTACTGGATAACAAATTCATAACACACACCAACAAAACGCAAGTTAGAACAATCATATTGAGGAAAAATATTTTTAAGGTTCATTAAAATATTATAAACTGGCAATAAAGCTTGGTAATAAAAATAAATCAAACAAAAAGGAAAAAAAATTCTGAAAAGGATTGTTAATTTAAAGATCTCAATGCAAATCAATAAAAATAATATTTATGAGCGTTTGTTTATAGGTACCTGAAATTTCAGCCTTTTCTTTAGGAGCAAGTTCACCACAATTTGGTCTGACACAATAACGCTTAGGTGCAGTAGTTTTTATTTTGAAAGCCACTTTTTTGTCACTTGGATTTTTCAGAGACATTATTGTTTGAACTGGTTCAGTAAATGGACCTAAAAAAAAATTTTATTTTGTAAATCACATTTAAAATTGTAGTAATAATTTTTCCAGAATAATAAGTGGGTAAATATAAGTGCATTTTGCAGATTTACTATTGCACTTAAATTCATAATTGGTTAATGTAGGGCTGGCAGTATTTTTGGTATACCGGTTATTACTAGTATTTAAGAAATATATCGTCTATATCAGGTATTTTTGGTATTTTAGAGTACCAGTATACAGTGAATCGGTAATTACCAAAAATACCGTATATCACTACTTTTAATATTTATTATTTTTATATAATCGTAATCGTAATGACGAAATATAATAGCCCTATCCTAGCTTGGAAATTTAAAAACACTAACAAATTTTGCAGAGGTATGGTATTTTTCGATAATTACATAGGCACGATATTTTTGGTAATTTCCATATAACCGGTAATAACAAATACCAGATACCGGTATCAAAATTTGAAATACCGCCAGCCCTAGGTTAATGTACTTCAAATACTTTTAAACAAAATTTAAATAGGTAGATTTTTTTTTTAGCATCGGCAACTATGGCTATTTGTGTTTTTGTAGAGGTATACGGTTGGTCGAGGAACACCTGTATGTGTGGCAAGGATTCGTCACTAAAAATCAGGATGGTAACCAATCCGGGGACTTGCGACGCCGGCTATGCTTGATCTCAGAGGCTCAGAAGTCAGAACATGTTAGTGACTGAGGCCAACCACCAAACTTTATAGTTAATCAATTTTTTATTGTGAAAATGATGGTCTAACAGTTTATATATTTAACCTATTTATAATTAATAATAAAAACAGCTGTATTTATTTTTGATACCCATATTAATAGCCTTAACTTAAAAAATATTTTAGGCCAATGTTCAGAACCCTAGCCTTACGCCATGCATTAAGAATTTATGATAAGATAAAAATATAAAACAATAATGAAAATTATTGTTGCTCCCGTTGTTGCTAATAAAATATTAAAACTTTTCACATACCAAACAATTTTTTTTTATTTCTCTTTAATCTTAAATTATACTATAAATTACAAATAAATTATAAACTTCAATTATATTATAGGTATATTGCAAATAATATGGTAGATTAAAATTTTATTGGTTTCAGTTATCGAGCACTTTTTAATTGTAATAGTAGGTATAAAGATTTTCCTGTAGTTACATTATCTATATATCTATAAAATCATACTGCTAATATTTTATATGTTATTTAATAGCTGATAATTACTAATTGGGTATTAATATCATTGCAAATTAATAAATATTGTATTGGTAGTATAATGTGTGTAGCTTACTAAGGAATAATTCTAAGGGCCGTTCTTACGACGCCCGGTAAAAGTTAACCGACACTTAACCGGAAGAATTCTGCCGGTAATAAAATCTGTTATCAGTCGGTTAGCGTTAACCGACACTTTACCGGACATTGTAAGAACGGCCCTTAGTCCGTTTCTTAAACATTTAATCACATGACTACAATAATTGTAATTATACTTTATAAGTAATTTTACTTTGTTATTTTTACTTGTTTAAATTATAATTATTATATATTTATTTTTTTGTAACTATTTATTGTTAATTAATAATTTTCACTTTACTATAAAATTATTCTTTTTTTTTTTTTTTATTAAAAATAAGCCTTCAACATCACCGGTCATTAGCCTAGTTATTCTTTATTTAGCTGTTTACAATTACCATATTGGTACTACAATTTTTTACTTCTTTTATTTGTATCCAAAATCTATTATAATATAAGCTAAATTGTACTTATAATTATTCAAATTGTTAAAGGATTTAATACCCGTTTATTATACATAAATAAATTAATAAATTAGGTACCTTACATAAATTAGGTGATTAAAGGAATATATAAATATAGGTAAATATTTTTTAAGATTTTAATTTAATTTTTTTTTTTCATCAATTAAAATACAAATAAAATTATAATTTTCATACTCAATATCTATGATATTTTTTGATTTAAATTGTAGTTGGGCTATAATATTATGTCAATGATTTATTCTTTGAACTATTTTGTATGTTACACTAATACTATGTAAAATTTAAATAGGAATATTATACAATTTCATAATATTACTGAAGTGCATAAAAATATCTTCCTAATCATTAATAAAAATTGGTTTACATAATTCTAATATTTAAAAAAAAAGTTGAATAAAAAACAATTGGTATTAAACTAGTATATCTATATTAGGTTATCCTACCTATATCAAGTCGCATAAATAGTGAAAATTTCAGTTATGAGAAACTAAAACTAACGTAATTACCTACCTACACATATTATGAATCATTATTGGACCTATTTAAAACATATATTTCTAATTAAGGACCAAATATACTAAACATAGGTAAGTATATTGATATAATTTCCCTTATTTATCATTATTTAACAATAGTACACAATCTCGCTATCCAAATACCTCTTTTAATAGGCATGTAAACACAAACAAAAGAATTACCTAATTTTTAAATTTGTTTTTGTAATAGGTAGTAAAGTTAAGTAGGTATTGGGGAAGGTATTAATGACCACCAAGTAGACAGTACATTTTACCTAGTAGGAAAAATGATGATCAAAGTAATGGATATTAATTTTTAATGTACGAAACATTAAAACCTAAACTAGGCATCTACCATGTAGAAAAAACACCACATAAGGGCCGTTCTTACAATGTCCGGTTAAAGTTAACCGACACTTAACCGGCCGAATTCTGCCGGTAATAAAATCTGTTATCAGTCGGTTAGCATTAACCGACACTTTACCGGACATTGTAAGAACGGCCCTTAAATGTTGTTTATAGAACAACATAGGTATAACATAAAAGCGAGCATAAAACTGATAAAAAAAAAAAAACACGATAATAAATATTATTGATTCTAACCCAAATGTACAACATACAACAAATGGTTTGAAACCTTTAAATAAGGGTGTCAATAATAACGATCAAATAGATGATTAAAATAAAGAACGAGTGATGTGCGGTGGACACCGACACTGAGTACACTAAGCCAATTTATTCGACTCTGGGACATTGAAGTGCAATATACCGTGTTCCTCGGTATACATAATTATGTAGCTACAAAGGTTTTTACGTTTACAGAAATGGTGTTCAGAAGGGTCCTCTAACAAAACAGTATACACACAGACATGGATAGCACCGGACAGGCAAGGTATCGACCCACCGAGTTTTAGGATTTTAACCTGCCCTAAAAAAGTTAACAAAACAATATTTATTATTATTCATATTTCAGTGTTCAGAGTTTTGGGTGTTCAAATATTTTCGGCCATAGATTACTAAGTCGGCCCAAAAGTTACGCGGCCCACAGAGTTCATCTCGGTAACTCGACGGGCCTATTTGGGACTGGCCCACTGACACTGACCCACGAATTATCGGTGTTGCTAACCTTTGAATTTGAGCTCGTGCGGCGGCTCGATGAATAATATCTGTTCGATCCTGGACGACATGATTTGGCGGTCAGGATAAGTGGTGTCAAGACGGTGTCGAAGCTGTCGTCAAGTCTGTTTCCGGATGAGGCGGCGTCGACGGTGGCTGGTGCTGATATTGCTCGAGTAGCTATATACTTGCTAAGCCGCTGTTAAGCGATAGCCGATATGAGGAGTTTGTACACACGCGCGGGCGCGCGCCTCAAAGGAACACGCACACAAACGCAAGACACACACACGGTAGCGCGAACGCTGCAAAACGTCGCGGGCCACACGGCAGTACGGTACGCGCACAAACACTCACACTCACACACACAAACACGAGTTTAGGACGGAGGTGACAAACGACCGACCGGTGGACAGTATGTCCGTACGTCGAAGCACAATGTGTTGGGTTGGACGGTCGGACTTTGAAACGTTGTCGCACGGCAGACGCTGGGCAACGCGAGACCGAAAAGATTATTGAAAATAAGAAACCTGAAAATAACTATGGTAGTCCAGTTGACAAATGCGCATGAGTTGTAAGGCCCTGGTAGAGCCCGTAGTCCGTAGAGGAAAACTTGATGATTAGAAAAAAAGAACAACAATAACACAACTCACAAGCAGAACCGTCTGTTTGACTGGAACACCAGCAGCAGCAGCTGTTGCTCTATGAGGTTATGAAAAAACCGTCACATACCGCAACCGTGGTCGCCGAAAGCTGCCTCCATGTCCGGTGACTCGATATTGGCGGGCTTGCCACAAGCTGTGAACAGTGCGAGCGGCTACTCTAGTTTTGTAGAATCTTATGGTCACATTTATACTCATTGTATATTTGTGTACTGTAGTTACTGGTTATTATTTATTGGTTATTATTAAAGACCGGATTTATATTCTCTTAAAATACCTAAAGTATGATGCTAATATTCTCTAAAAAAACCTTCAAATATTCTCATTATATTCTCTTAAAATTTTTAAAATTTTTTAAAAATATGCTAAAATATGCAAAAATATGAAAAAATAATCAATTAACATCATTGTATGCTATAATATGCATTTTTAATTTTTTTTTTCAACATTATTTTAATAAAGAGGTATTAATTAGGTATTAAAGTTGAATATTCTAATGGAATACTATTGCACTTTAGTAAGAGTTGGAAATGATAAAAAAAAAATTTTAAATGACTATCATAATTCATAACTATCTATAATTTAGAGCCAATGAACTTATAGACAATACGATAAAACCATTGTATATTATTTCAAGGTGTTCAATTGTTAATTAATAATTTGTATTGTAATTTGTATATGGTTACAAACTTGGGTACTAAAATGATATCAATGGTCTGCATTTCACAAATTTGATAAATATTATTTACATTATCTTATCTAATTTAATTAATAAGTTATTACCAATTTCCATTCATTAATTATAAATTACAAGTTATAACTATTTACCTACTTGGGCCACTACTAAACTAACTGGAACCTACTATACAAAATACTGATAAAACCGAAATACTATAAATACTCCTGCTTATCTACTTGAAACGAGTTTTATATTGCTTCTTTTTGTTTATTAGCCGTGTGGTGTATTATTAAATCACAATTAGTCTTTAAGCTTATGGATTACTTTTTAAGAGGACATATTAAGTACGTTGGTGACGGATTGTATTTTAGATTCTGAGCGAAGAGACAATATTATGTTGATTTTACAATGATATATTTTTATTTTTTTTTGTGTCTGTCATCACAGAGCAAATTTTAACATACAAAGTAAGCGGCACTAGTGCAGTAGTGCCCCCCCAGTGATATTTTAATGCTACCCAGTGGTGGGTGCCACTGACCAACACATTCTCATAACGACCGATGCAAATGTCAATTATTAATTACTATGTATACAATATTATATAAAGAACGTAAAACTATTTTAAGCTCTCGACTCTTGTATACTTTATAGCCCATATCATATAAAAAACCAGGGCTTCAAAACGTTTTCATAACGTTACGAGTATAACGTTAAACGATTCAAAAAACGATTGAAATCGATAACGGATAACATATCGGTAAACGACAAACGATTGAAACGAATAACGGATAACATATCGGTAAACGATAAACGATTGAAATGGATAACGGATAACGGAACAGTAACGATAAACGATTGAAATGGATAACGGATAACGGAACAATAACGATAAACGATTAAAATTAATATCAAATAACGCAACAAAAAACGATTAACGATTAAAAGTTGAATCTTAACAAACATGTCAGACAACAAAGGAAATTACGAAAATATTAAAAACTATCTATAGAATATAATTAGAATTTAGTTAGTTTTGTAGAAGGGCAAATGTAAACTGGGCCCGGAGTTACCTTTTTTGTTGTAAGCTCGGCCCGACAATTATAGGTAATATAAATAGGTAGATTGTAATCTCGGCCTGGAAATTTCAGGTGGTAAAATAAATCGATTGTAAACTCGGCCCAAAAATGTCAGGTGTCAGATTCTATGTTTACGCCTGAAATGTGGGCCAGTGCATCAGTTGGAACGTATTTAATAACAAATGCATGTGATCATTTTAATTTTAATTCAAGTTTTAATTCCACTCACCCCAATATATATTCCGTCATTTCAAAATTAAAAGAAGTACAAACAGAAACGTACATTAAAATCAACAGCCTAGATGGACCATTTAAATTCCAAAATATAAAAACTAAAAAAAAAGAAAGAACTCTTAGAAAGAACACTTACAAAATATAAAAATAAAGAAATATCAGTGAGTGAATATGTAAAATACATGGCTTTTTACTTAAAAAACTAGATTTATATATTATTATTATACTAACATTTTTCACTCATTATTTACACTACAATTTTACTTATATATTTTTTATTGTATTTAATCACATTTTTACACTTATAAATTTATATAATTAGTAATTACATTTATTATTATTTTATTATCAATATTAAAACATTTTTCATTTAAATAACGAATTTCATACTATATGAATAATAATATGAAAATGAAAATAATTTTTGAAGGATAATGAGAACCGCCTCCTCTTGGTGTCCTCCGGGTAATGCTAAATGTTTCTCAAAAATATTATAAGAAAAATGATGGTTTTTACACCTAAATCATATTTACCTGAAAAAAATCGGGGCCGAGTTTACATCTAAATAATTTTGACCTGAAAAAAACCTGGGCCGAGTTTACCATCGACCTTTTGGAAATGTTTTTTCCTCGGGCCGAGTTTACAATCTCCTTTGTAGGACTGTTGCTTGATAGGACCATAATAATAAAGTGACTTTAATATTAGGTACTAATCAAAATTAATTAAATGTACAATATGGAACTATGAAAGTTTAAAATAGCCATAAATATTTCAAAGAAATAATACGCATTATCAATATTATATTTAGGCTTTCTTACAAAAGTGGAAAATATTTATAAATAATGTATTAAAAATAGTATTAAACCCGTTCAACGGATTCTACATTTCTTAGTAATGTATTTATAAATAATTAATATTTAAAACGTTTAAACGTTAAACGGAGCATTTTATAAACGTTTAAATTCTTTATAACGTTAAACGATAAATCAATCATAACGTTTGATATCATATAACGTTAAACGCTAAATCGATCATAACGTTTAATATCATAAAACGTTAAACGCTAAATTGATCATAACGTTTAATATCATATAACGTTAAACAGTAATTTGGTCATAACGTTTGATATCCATATAACGGTAAACGGTATTATTTTTTTGGATTTAAGCCCTGTAAAAAACAATAATATTTTATTGAATGTAGAACATGTCACGAGCCGCAATGCTTTGCCGGAATTGTTTATATATTAATATAAAATATGAATAGATATAGATGTAATACGAAAATAATTCACTTAATTTTAAAAATGTAATGAATTACTTCGGAAGTCGTCATCGTCTTCATAAATTGAAGGGTGGGTGCGAATAACGTGCAATGTTACCCAGTACCCTATAACCTTACCCCACTGTACAGTGTACAGGTACATTTTATATTACTTTTATACAATTATTTACGAGTATTCATATTAGTTCTATAATACTTATAGGTACTCGTCTAATATGATACATACTCTGACAGTGGCGTACGCAGGATTTTTCAATGAGGGGAGGGGGTGGCTTGAAAATTAGATACAATTTTGTTTTTATTTTGTCCAGTCTAATAATTTCAGATGACGATCATTTGAAGTATTTTAAAGTGTTTGTAACTCTTTCGTACAAGTAGTTCATACTTTTATCGAAAAATTACAGATAATTTTAGGAACATTGGTAGCAAATACAATGTTTTTTCAAAAATCAATTCATTCTGTTAAGACATATATGAAATTTACGTTTTACTGACTATAGTTGACAGTTGTTGAAACTTTATAAATATTTTTTTTTTAAAGTAATAATAATACGGCAATGGGGGAGCTTCACCCCGTTAGTCCCCCCCTGCGTACTCAACTGTACTTGGATGTACCTACACCAGTGACGTAGCGTGTGTCTATGTACAACAACTATTTCAGTATCTTATAATAGTATAATATTTTGCAGATTATCTTCATAGTTCATTGTGATTGAATTTAATGATTTATCCACAACACCGCTTCCGCGCAGCTGTTAAATTCGTTAAAACCTCACTATATTAGTGGCTATAGAACCTACCCAACTAATTACAGACAATCGAGTTATTCAAGAGATAGGCTATAAATTCAAGAATGTAGGTATATAGCTCTCAATGGAATTAGAACAACACCGTTTGACCCCAGGCCTGCATATTGCTAAGTTTCTGGACTCAGCTAAGGAGAGAAGGAGGAAACTACCTGACCCAGATCTATACAAGGATCAAGAAATTATACAAACCTTTTTTCCACTGATTCAAACATGCAATTTTAAATTGTAGTATATATTTGTTTTAAATACAGATATTGATAGCTTTATACATATATATATAATCTATTTTACTTATTTTATCAAGGTTTTATTATTGAAAAATCGGTTATG